GAAACAAGAAGAGCGTTGTGCACAACTACTCTTGCTTTAGAACAATTTAGGCAACATCTGGTTTGAAAGAAAACTCCCTGTAAAATGCCACAAGTGTACAAAGAATTTATTTTCCTTGCATCAGTGCTGCCATGTCAAGGCACTACATGGCCTATGTAAGGAAATTCTCATTTCCAGTTATAGCTAAAACAATTAAATGAGCAAGTTTGTCTCTTTTGCATTAATATGCACCAATATATTCAATACAGTAAACTACTGTAAAGATAAAGAAGTCCAGGACTTCTTCACACTTGGCTTTGGAGGTGAGGATCAAGGGTGCTTCAGAAGGGGCATGGAGGAGGTGATGGGTAGTGGATACAGGATTTTGGGGTTGTTTTTGGCCTTAAGAATGATGTGAATAGAAAAGCGCTCCAAGACGCTGTCCTGCGTGAAGGGTGATATACAAATGCAAGTTGTTGTTCTATATCTCCATTTATTTTGCATTATTTCAGCATGGAGTGCTAATGACTTCTTGAAGATAAATTAGAATCAATTGAGTCCAAAACAAGAGATACATTTTAACATTTTCAGATACAGAACATTATCTAGAATGCTTCAGTGATCCTGTCATTTCAACTAAGTAAATTAGTAAATCAGTTTTCTTGCACTGTTCAGTTCAATAACTCATTGTAGATTGTTTCCCCCATTACAATGTAATTTTTTTCAAAATATGCTCTAACCCAAAAAGAATATTAATGATGGTCATAAGCAGGTTGAATTTGAAAAGCAATTCTGGGGAAACTATATTACTTAAGATGGTTAGTTTCGCCAATCGTAAATCAATATGTATGTAGGCTATAGATTAATTACCTCATTATTGCTCTTGTAAATGCTGATCGGTTAATTGTTCATTTAAACACATCAGTGCAACCTTTCATTTATCACTGTTGCTGCTTACATTCCATCCAGCTCAAATAAATACCATATTGTAAATTATTTTAACTTTTTCAAACTATTGTGTTGTTGAATATATTAACTATTTTTTGTAAATTAGTTTCTAAAATTTCTTATTTTAGAAATAGTGTGTGATCTCAGTTAAATGTTTGAACAAATTGTTAACTAAATTCTTTTGGTTATAAATATTATAACCGAAGACACCCAATTCAAAATACTTTTAAAATTGTAGATGCCAATTTACATCTGTTCAGCCACTCTATTCCTTCCTCCCTCTCTCCAAAGCAGTAAAATGGTTAAATTTAGTCTTGCTTTAAAGGGCCCTGCTTTCATGAGTATATCTTTGACAAAGGTTTTTGTTTGGGTGTACAGAATATTTAGTTTTAAACAACTTTAGAGACTGGTTTTGTAATCAATGAAGAACTGAAACATTAACAATTGTTTATACCATTGTTCAATCAAATGCAAGTATTATTGCTATTAAGTGAAACCTGGAAGTCACAGTAATGCTAAAATGGCAAGTTTTGCTTCTGCTGTGGCTAATTGCATTTGCCAAGCTTGAAGGATTCTCCTCTTATAATTTCACCAGATGAAAGCAGTCCTTAATGCACTGCATAAGTGCATAACAGTTGAATAAATGGAGATAGAATAGCTCTCAGAATTTTCTTCATCAATGGATTCCTCCATTGGTAAAATAATTAGATTAATGTTTGAGTGATGATCATTCGTCAGCACTTGTTTTTTCCTGCTTTTAAACTCAGAATTTTATGTTCTGAAAGAGTGATACATCTGAAGCATTAACTATCTTTCGCTTTCAAATGCCATTGTCATAATATATGTAAAATTGGAAAAATATTCAATTTGTAGGAAGTTATAAATAACATTGTTCAAGAGTAAATGTACTATAGCAGACATGTTTGCTTTTGTTTTGCTGAACGTTTTCTAATTCAAATTGATAGAACTCCAGAGCCTCTTGTTTTAGTGTTCTGTATGTTGCAATATCTTTGGTGCAGACTTCACCTTCAAAGCAACATTAAGAATTGGAATTTTACAAACTACTGGAACATGACTTTAATCCTTTCTAGTTCCACTACCAGTGTATCTAGCTACTTACAACCAAATAAATAACAACCGAAAAGTTGTCCATTTCATGGGAAAGACTAATGAGCTCTATCACCAGTTTCACCTAGATTTAATGCAATTGTAATATAATAATAATCCTTCCATTAGATATAGTGCTTTATCACATCATTGAGATGTCTCAAAGCACTTCACAGAATATATTGTAAAGTGGAATTACAGTATTTTGTGGACAAAATGCAGCAGCCAGTTACGCACAGCAATGTCCCACAAACATTTTTTTCCTACTTACTGCTAGGTAAACCGAGGTGCTTGGAGTAAGGAAACTTGCCTAAGGTTTTGCCCTGCCCGGCAATTGAACCTGGGTGCTAACTACGACACTATGGTACTCCACATATGTTCCAAGAAACTTTAAAAAGTACCAGTGAAAAATCCTTGATAGGGCAGGCTTTCCAAGCTGTACTAACTGGCTAGAGATTGAGAGGGTTTTCAACTTCACACCCTCTTAGCCACCCAAAGTCTTGATCATGCAATTTATTTTATTATTATTTATTATTATTTTCACAGATCCATCTTTTAGGGTAAATCATTGTTTAGAGTGCAGGACTGTAAAACATCTGAAGGAGGTCTGGTTTTCATGTCAGGAAGAGACCCTGCCTTGTTTCCAATTAATATAATAATAAGCTAATATAAAGTTTTAAGGTCTAGAATCGTCCTTGTTGCTCCTGTCTTTGCCAAATTTGTTAATCTCCTTTTGTGGATAGGATGCTCAAAACTGCACATTACCTTCCAAATGTGCCCTCATCATCCATCCATACATGGTGAAACTTCTTTTCACTTGTGGTCAATGCCATCAAAGTATAATTTAGTATTTGATTAGGTTTGTTGGCTAGAATTGGCTGGAAGTCAACAAATAAATATTTGTTTGCAGCTTGTGCATTTCCAACTCACAAGTTAATTTTTAAATCAATTGAATTGCTCTGGAAGCTTCTAAATAGTTAATTTTTACAAAAAGTTAATATTTGTACAAAGGATGATAGGATCACAGGTGATCTAGAGGCCACTGCAAGGTTAGAATAATTTATTGTGGCTTAGTTATATGGCTCAACATGCAAGCCGATTATTTGATTAACAACAACAACGACGACTTGCATTTATATCATGCCCTCCATGCCGGGTGGCATCCCAGAGCAATTAGCTTTGTTGATAGCAACTTCACTTTGTCTGATAATCTTCAGTGAAAGATCACATTAAAATCCTATTCTTTTTTTATCTCTGTTCATGGACATCCTTGCATGGTTTGGATATGTTTTCTGGGTATTGTTCAATGTAGCTCAGTGGTTAGAGCACTCGCCTTGCAAGCGAGACACCTGAGTTCAATTCCAGACAGGGCAAAATCTTGGGCAAGGTTTCCTTACTCCACACGCCTAATAATAATCCCTCCAAAAAACAAAACAATAATAAATTGGTCATTTTCATTCCAAGAATGTTTGAGGGACACTGCTGTACGCAATTGGCTGCCGTGTTTCGCCCACAAATATACCGTCAATTCACTTTACAGCATATTCTGTGAAGTGCTTTGAGACTCTAGAAGACGTGAAAAGTGCTACATCAAATTCAAGGATTATTATTATTATTATTATGCATAACATATTTATCCTCATTAAAATCTATCTTCATTTCTTGGCTCACCTGTTTGTTGGTTCAGATATTTATGGTCTTTATGTAGTTCAATTAATGACCTATTTCAACTACAGTATAGCTCTTGAGACATTCTTCTTGCTGCAGAATGTACTGTCACAGTTGATAATTACTAGATCTATGGGACCCAACATGGTTTCTTTGTAAGTGTTCATTTATACCCTGTTCCCTTTCACATAGAAAATGCATTTCATGAGTGACTGTGAAGAACATTATATAACGTAAAATATTCTATGTCAGTCTTTATATGGTACAAATAATTATGAATAGTACAGTTCTTCATTTTAATTACTGAATTACCTCAGTGAGCTGAGAAGACCTGTCATTGACCAGGACACTATAAAGGAAGCCATCTAGCAGCTGGTGAAAGAACAAATTTTCCTGTTCTTTTGGTAGTGTACACTCCATCTGTTCCTGATTAGAATAAGGACATTATGATAAGGATAGCAACTCATTACTGCAAGAGATTGTTTTGCCTCAGGATGTATGACACGGCATGACATCTCCTGAATCTTTGTCCATTAAATGTATTATTAATGAGTACATAATTAAATATTTTTCCACTAGTATTTACTCACCACATGACAAATTATGGATTTCTTTATTACTAATTCATCAATAGCCACATTGAAATACAACACACCCGGTGTAAGTAACATATTTGGAAACAATACAAAAGCTGGCGAGGCGCGCAGTATTTTATGTGGAGTTTGCAGAGAAAAATATGCCAAAGGTAATGTCATAATGCCATTATAAAATTAAAGAGCATCATTATTTTCAATAGGATATAATACAGCAACCATTGTTCTGGGAGCTATGGAGTGTCCAATAAAATCTAGAATGCCAGGGAAATTCTTACAAGAGTGGTAGAGTATTCTTGACTGAAATATGAAAGCAGACATACCTATGATTGATATGCAAAGTCATAAATATTTATGTGAAACGACAATAATAAAATAGTAAAGTGCCATTCTATTGATGTCATCACATTAACAGTGAAACATCTAATTTTATTTTAACAAGGGGCATTATATCTAGTGGAGGATAGCTTAATAACAGCAACTTTTTAGTTTGAGACCCAATTAGAATTTGAACTTGTTTTGATATTGACTGGTTTCGAACTGTTCATTTTTGGATGCTTTCATTAAATGGCTTTTGCAGGGGTGATTAGGCTATTAGAGTGCAGCAGAGTCCCAAAGTGATGTTAGTGACTAAAATGTCTAGAATAGTGGTACGTAGAATGAACAGTCTTATTAGACTAACTCTTATTTTTTGATTCCACACAGAGCATAAAGTGTAATTGTCAAAAAGAGAGCCATGACATAAAAGGAGTAGCGGCTTCATGTGTTGATAAGACTACCCAAACTGCCCATAAAGGAACTCATGTAAGTTCGACTCTTCTGTGCATCTGGTGCTATCTCAACACCTTATGTGCATTTTTTGTGCTTATCATTCATTCTCTGTAACTCTACATCTTGATTCAATGCTTCATGTACCCTTAATTAGATTTTTAGAAAGCAACATGTTACTTAAATACCAATTTAAGAACATTTTGATTTTAAATGATTTCTGCTCTATTTAAAATGGTAAATTTGAATAATTTTTCATAAAATAATCTCTGCAGTGTCACATTGTATACATTTAATTTTGATTTGGGGAATAAAAAAGCTTTCATCACAAGAATAACAAAACTTTTCTCTCTCCAGTGTCTGACAGAAGGTTGCAATAAAATTCTACATGCTACAGAATTGTATTGTCAAATACCAAACATACTAGAGAGCTACTGAGTAATCAGCAGGGAGAGAAGAACAAAATCAATAGATGTGTTCACCATGAGCAATTTTGCACACCTCCTTGTAATTATCCAAAGGATTGACAGAAACCTGATTTCAGGTCTCTTTCTTGCATGCTTTGTCAAGGAAGATGCATAGTCAGGCAGTACAAAACACTCCCTGGAATGGTCTGAGGTCGAGTTTAATACAACAGATCCAAACTCGAGTAAAGTAAGAGATAGAAAGACACAATGTGAATGCTGGAAATAAAAGCTGAAAGTACTAGAAATGCACAGCAGATCAATTAGCTTCTGAAAGAGTTTGGGGGTACTCATAAAATGCTGATCCATGCTGATCAACTCTTGTGCATTTCTAGCATGTTCTGGTTTCACTGAGTAAATTCAGATTTTGAAATGATTCTCTGTAACTAATCCTTGATTAATACAAATTGTGTGGCAATTAGAATACACCCCAGGAGCTAATCCCCTTCTTACAAGAACCGTGCAGTTTTACATATTCCAGATATTTCTACTTGTAGAATAGATTAAATTGTAGACCTATCCATTAAAATAACACATTTGCTGAAGGAACAGAAATCTAGATTCATGCTCATCAATTAAGGATTCATACTTTTCAGGACAAAATTGCAAGGTTTATAAATTATCATCTATTGAAATAAGATACATGATGTATTTGTTGGACAGTTAAAGGAGCAACTTGTCCACTAACAGTAAATTTACACTCAATAAGTACCGTGCAAGATCATTTTCATTTTTCAGTTAATTGAGGCTTGGGGGTTGTAATAAATGTAATAATTTGGGGGAGTTGTAATAAATGTAGTTGAGCAAGTAACAGTTGCCATTTTAACTGCAATTCTGATCCTCACTATTGCTTTGTACAAGTGTTTGTTTTCTTGGTACCAGCCAGTTGAATCACAATGGTCTTTCTGTTCCTACGCATTTCTATCTTACAAAGAAGATTTTTAATAAGTATTTAGTAATTCTCTATTAATGTTGATATTCATTTATTTGAAAACAGGGGGACATGAAGCATTTGGAATAGCCCATCATCAGTATGCTCATCAGAAACAATCCCTACTTCATATGTTATATAGTGCACAAATGCTATTACAAGTATGATGAATGGGTATTGTCACCTGAAAAGTTATTGGTAGGGGTGCCATTTGTAAATGCCTGAAACAATAATGGCTTTGGGTTGTAATGATTTTCACATGTGAAATGTTACATTCATTACATGTATATTATTATCAACCCAAACTATATCCTTTTCTGAGTTATTTCCATTTTAAAAAAATACAGATCTCCTTTAAAGCATTGTTACCAGTTTACTCAAGGTCATTTAAAATACCAAATACAGTATATTAAATAATAAGGTTACAATATGCATTTTACATTTGTTTTGAGTGCCATTCGAGTTACTCCTTGGACTTCCAGTTCCCAATTCACGCTGATCTTTGATCTTTCATCTATATTATGTGCACGCTACTATTCTCAGGATAATGGTGATATTGATTTTTTTTAAATCTATAGTATAAAGAATAAGAATTTTATAATTTTCAATTGTTATGTTGTTTTCAAGCTTCTCAGGTTTTACTCATGTCTTTGAAAAAGCAAAGAACCTCTTGTTTGAGTTAATTTCTTCTAGCTTTCAGTCACCTTTCAACTATCCTAGCATCTTTTGAAAAGTTTTGTTTTACTTGACCAGATGTTTGGTATATTACATGACCACTTTGCTCAGAATGAAAAGTAGCATTATAGAGTCATTTTCAACCTGTACCATGATATCAGTCTTGCAGATATACATGTTATTACTCCTGTAAAAGCATGCTGGGACCGGATCTGTTAACTGTCAGCCATGTTTATAAACCAACCATTAATTTTCTAAGTTAGTGATAATAACTCAGATGGTGTTGCCAGATGAATTAGACTCTTCCATTAATAATAGTTTAATAGAACTGATAGACACAACAACAACAACAACAACCAAATTACATTTGTAAAACGCCTTTCACGTCGGGAAGACACCGTGGAAAGGTACAATCATAACTGGCGCTGCAGGAAGCAACTCCTAAGTTGTTCAGAAGTACTGGATATTTGAGGTCCCTGTCATGTCCCACATCACTTCTGGTTTGTATCATTTTAGTTTTTCCAAAGTTCTAGCTAGGTTCATATACCACTGGTGCAAAAGATTCCACATGTGTAATACCCAGACTCATTCAGAAAATTTGAATCACTTAAAAGTAAGATATTTGAATTTTACTCTTCTCTGTAAATGAAGAACATTGCACAACACAGAAATACTAATGCCTATGTAATTTCTTGGAAAGCAATGTAACATTATTTTTTTTTGGAGGATCCTGTGCATGTGTAGGTCCAGCTTAGTAACTCGTGTCCGTGGTCCATGCATACATGGAGCAATGTATACTGAAGCTGGGGCATAATTCCACCAAATGGAAATTATCTGGTATCTAAGTAGTCATCAGTCATATTTCAATCTACATAATGAGTGTTATCAAACTATTTGACATTGGAGGGCATCACATACTTTTCCACCTTTGGTTCGTGGCTAGGACCTGGGAGCAGTTTTTCCTAAACGTTTTTNCCCACTCCCTAGTCCAGGAGGACTGCAGTCAACTACTATGCTGGAACAACTGCCCTTGCTGAAATCAGCTAATTTAGCACAAAGAAGGGTTCCAGTGTGTGAATTTCTGCTTTGCATAGATTAATGTTCTATCAGATGGCGTTACTGTGTACACTAGGCCACCAAAGAAGACAATTATGTGCTTTGTAAACCTCAGAACAATGTTCATTAATGTACCGATGTGATGTTTCTTTCCATGATCATATTCTCTGAATCAGGTTACTAATCTCTGCCAAATTGAGTTATTTTGTGCATTGAGACCATGCCCACTAGGAATGGAGCTAAATGTGCTCAAACCCATTTTGTTCTGACAGCCGAAAAAGGAGGCTCCCATGCTGCTGTTCTACCTTGATTTGATCATAAACCCAGAGATAGAGTTTCCTTTATCAGCAATGAAACAGAGTCCTAAAGGTAATTGGAGTAGACGGGATTGAGGCAGGCAATGGAGTAAGGTTATAACTATTTATAATTGGTGCCATCTTCCCATAGTTATGTTTGGTTAGACTCTCATTCTTTACTTGCCTTTTATGATTCATTCATTAATTTAGCCAGATAAAATTTGTTCACTTCATGGTTGTTTGCGGGACATTACTGTACACAAATTGGCTGCCGTGTTCACCTAAAAATTGACTCGGTCACTACACTTTACAGTGAATTCTGTGAAGGGCTTTGAGATATGCTCCTGAAATGAAAGGCACTGCAACAAATGTAAGGATTATTATTATTTTCGTCCTTACGCACACCCCAAACTGTTCACTACCTTTGCCACATATTGCCTCCCAATTACTCTCATCCAACCATACTCCTTTGCTAATTATTCCTTTCCTGTCACTTTTGCCCAAATCCAATCTTCATCTGGCTCTAATGTCCTCTCTCAGTCAAGCCTCCCTGTTTCCCTTAGACACTGGGACTTGACTGTGCACCTGTCCACCCCTATTCCTCCATGGTGGTGTTTTCTGGTTAGTCCAGATTTCTCTTCTCAATGCAGCCTACACTGATAGCCACCCTGCAAATTGCACTGTTGGGTCATGCACATTCCACCGACGATAAGCAAACCAAGCAGTAGTGAATTTTAAATTAGAGCTCTGCTTCTCTGTATTCCTTTATTTGGTGTGATCCTGCTCATCTAACGTGTAACTTGATAACACCAATTGAATAATATTGTGCTCATGAGAGAAAGGATTTTCAATAAAAACTATATTGTTGGTTTGAACTTCCAACCAACAACTCTCCAGCTGTGCTGGTGACAAACAGATTAGATGGCAACTTTACCCAAGGTTAAACAGCAAGGAGTTTAATAATATACTGTGCATTCCAATCGGGAGGATATTATTTATAATGATCTACAACCTTGTTCTGTAAAATCTGCTTACTCAAGCCTTTGCAATCCCTATATATTTAACCAAAAATATTTTAAATGGTTTGCTCTTACTCTATCCTTTCCTCTACACAGATCCTCAGGAGTAATTTGTGAAAAGATGAGATTTTATAGACCTACATTAATGGCAACTATCACAGTTTAAGTGTGAATACTATTTTAAAATAATTGAATTTCTGCCTCAATGTCAGGATTTAATGAGGCCACTTCATTCTGTGAAGATAAGTCATAAGGGAAAAAGCAGGAAACCAAATTCTTTCTCACATCCAGCCTTAGATTACAAATAATAAATAATAAAACGGCCTTTTGCACTTTCCCTCCAATAAATTTTATTAGAGTGTACCAATTGTTTACTTCCTTTTTGAGCTGAAAAAGGTGAATTGACATTTTTTCCTTAGCATTCATTGTTGTGCCAATAATATTAGATAGCAAAGGCTCAATATGAATACTGAAAGAGAAGTGGATGCTTGAGTGACAAGGCATGTTGACCTTTGACAACCTTTATCTTTTTGAATTCGAACAGCATTGCTGAACATTTTATGAACCACATAAAGGTGGCCATCATTTGCTGTTA